TATTACATATGCTGTGAATTCAAACTTTTGTAATGTGAATTTCGTTAAGTAAAATATCATCCTGTGTGAACATAAAATGAACAAAGAAACTTTGACTGCAGGTTTATTTTAGTGTGTTGAAACATAGTACTAAAAGGGTTGATAGTTTATATTTATAGATTTTTTCTCATTTAAGATAAGGAAGGAAATATTTCACTTGCAAACATATATGTGTATATATGTAATAGAATATTTTAAATTACAGAATTTCTGACGAAACAAGTGCATATAAACCTATGTATAATAATATACATATATATTCTTATGTTTTAGAAAACTAAGAAAGCTTTTCTATTCATTTTTTGATCAATTAAACTACATTCAGTATATCAATAGCATCATGTAATTAGATAATAGAATTTTCTACCAATTTAGCGAATAAATTTTGTTTATCGCACGTATATTTGAAAACAGATAAATAGTTAATAAACCAGCTATTTTTTTAAAAATGATAACTATTCGTCCCCTGTATGACGTACAAAGGACTAAAAATGTTTCCATATAGTCACTTTGGTCAGGCCTCGTTTGTTAAATTAAGTACATATAATATGATGATAATTCACCTCTATAGAACTGTAATTCATACTTATCAAATTAACAAAACCTGTTTGCTATATAGTTGTCAGTGTTTTTCATGTATATCTGCCTAGCGCAGGAAGAGAAGATGCGTGTTACAGTTGTCCTAAACTGGCACACGTTCACTCTATACACAGGTGTACGCACGCGACATACGCGTCTCGAAGAGTGCGGGCTCTAATTTTAGTCGACGAAGCATAAGTCACCCAGGGGCCTTGTAAGGCTAGGAGGCAATCGCGAGGACCCTCGATACGCACTCCCCGTCAACCGCGACATCTACGTAGCCGACTACCAACAACTCTATTTTTGCTATTCCTTATTTCTGTTACAGTTTTACCGCTCGTCTTGGATTACGACTTTTCCTTTGAAGAAAGGGCTAAAATCGATAGCTTTCGAATCAGTTGAAGATATTGCATCGAACATGAGACACGATTATTGACGTTGTTATGTAGAACTTTGATATAAAGACAAGTAATGATCAGTTTAGAAAAAATCACAGTAAAAAATGTTTGCAGGAAAACGTTTGGAGGGAATAAACGAATTACTTCGTCTCGCGATGTCGTGCAAATGACAAATGAAATTTAGAGGGAGCCGATAAATTTAATTATTTCTATTTTTGAGGTTTTGCTGTGGATGTTCTAATTGGCTCGTAATGTTTTCGCAATATGTTATAGCCGAAGAGCTGTAGACTGCACGTACTATTTCAAGATTTAAATATCATTGATCTTTAATATAGAATAATGTCTTTGTTTTACGAATCTGACGCTTGCATTATATATTCTTATTTTTCGTTTTACTTAAACAGTCTTCAATCTTTTTAGCATAAAGCAAAAATAATAAGAATATGTGTTGAAAAAATTATTTTTTTCTACTTACTATGTAACTCTTTAACCTATCGAAGCGAACGAAAATATAGTTACTTAGAATTGCACACATATTGGTCGGTTGCCAGAATATGTATACCGTATTCGAAGTTAAATGTCATGAGAATTCGAAACATAATAGTTCTCACAAATTCGTTCGATTATGAAGATGCAACCTGTTCCCGTCTATTATGTCAACGTGTTGAATGTACGCCAGAGATTGCACGTGATAAGGTTCACATAAACCGACATTGAATTATTATAATATATAATACAGTTTTATTATCATTAATTATATGATATAATAAGAACAATACGCCAGGCAGCAATATGAGCCAACGTCGATGCGCCTGGTTATGGTTTCCCATATCATATACTTGACATCCTCGTCGATTACCACCCCGTGCGTATCGCAAATGCCAAATTACGTGTGCTTACGATTTCAAGAAAGCCTTTGTATGTGTGCATATGTGCGTGTGCCAGAATGATGCATATAAGTCTGCGTATACGTGTTTACAAGATCCAGGACTCGTTGTGATGGCCAAGGAGATTATTGTCGATAAATTAATTAACGTCAATAACAAACAGTCATGTTGTATAAACTACATAATAAAGTACAGTCTGATAAATGTGTAGAATAAAGGCACTTCAGCAATTTTCCTTTCCCAAACCTAGTTTCTCCCCGTCCCTCCCTCAATTCTGCATTCTTTTCTTTTTCTTCTCTCCAGCCAAAGTACACCTAGGTCGCGGATCGAAAATCGCGATTACAAATGGAAAAAGAAAAGAAAGCAGGTAAATATGATGAACTGCCGTGTTAGGTGCAACATCTTAGAAGCACTTGCGGTGGACAATGCCTGGGCCGGACTCGTCGTATTCCTGCTTGGAGATCCACATCTGTTGGAAAGTGGACAGGGAAGCCAGAATGGATCCACCGATCCATACAGAGTACTTTCTCTCAGGGGGCGCAATGATCTTGATCTTGATGGTCGATGGAGCCAGGGCGGTAATTTCCTTTTGCATACGATCGGCAATACCCGGGTACATGGTAGTACCACCAGACAATACAGTATTAGCATACAGGTCCTTACGGATATCGACATCGCACTTCATGATGGAGTTGTACACGGTCTCGTGGATACCACAGGATTCCATACCCAAGAAGGATGGTTGGAAGAGAGCTTCCGGGCAACGGAACCTCTCGTTACCGATGGTGATGACCTGTCCATCAGGCAACTCGTAGCTCTTCTCAAGAGAGGTGCTAGCTGCGGCAGTGGCCATTTCCTGTTCAAAGTCCAGGGCGACGTAGCAAAGTTTTTCCTTGATGTCGCGGACAATTTCTCGCTCAGCCGTGGTGGTGAAGCTATAACCTCTCCAGAATGGATCCACCGATCCATACGGAGTATTTCCTCTCAGGAGGTGCGATGATCTTGATCTTGATGGTCGATGGGGCCAGGGCGGTAATTTCCTTCTGCATACGATCGGCAATACCTGGGTACATAGTGGTACCACCAGAGAGCACGTTGTTGGCATAGAGATCCTTACGGATATCGACGTCGCACTTCATGATGGAGTTGTACACGGTCTCGTGGATACCGCAGGATTCCATACCCAGGAAGGATGGCTGGAAGAGAGCCTCCGGGCAACGGAACCTCTCGTTACCGATGGTGATAACCTGTCCGTCGGGCAACTCGTAGCTCTTCTCAAGAGAGGTGCTGGCTGCGGCAGTGGCCATTTCCTGTTCAAAGTCCAGGGCGACGTAGCAAAGTTTCTCCTTGATGTCGCGGACAATTTCTCGCTCAGCCGTGGTGGTGAAGCTATAACCTCTTTCGGTCAAGATCTTCATAAGGTAGTCGGTCAAATCACGACCGGCCAAGTCCAAACGGAGGATGGCATGAGGAAGGGCATAACCTTCGTAGATGGGTACGGTGTGAGAAACACCGTCACCCGAGTCCAAGACAATACCGGTGGTACGACCGGAGGCGTACAGCGACAGCACGGCCTGGATGGCGACGTACATGGCAGGGCTGTTGAAAGTTTCGAACATAATCTGGGTCATCTTTTCACGGTTAGCTTTTGGATTCAGAGGGGCTTCGGTGAGGAGAACTGGGTGTTCCTCCGGAGCGACACGCAGTTCATTGTAGAAGGTATGGTGCCAGATCTTCTCCATATCATCCCAGTTGGTGATGATACCGTGTTCTATAGGATACTTTAAAGTAAGTATACCTCTTTTGCTTTGCGCTTCGTCTCCTACGTAACTGTCCTTTTGACCCATGCCGACCATCACACCCTGGAATAATTATTAATGAGTACCAATAGCGATACTTAATGTTAGCATTGCAGTGTACTTTATAGAATGAAAAATGATTTTCAAAATTAACGAACTTGATGACGTGGGCGTCCAACAATGCTGGGGAAGACAGCACGTGGTGCGTCATCTCCGGCGAATCCCGCTTTGCACATACCGGACCCATTGTCCACAACTAGTGCGGCAACATCATCATCACACATCTTGGTTGGTTATTAGTGTTACTTCCTGTGAATATTTCATCAAATATATAAGATTGCGTATTTATTTTTCATTGTGCTTCATCACATTCCTTTGTTAGATGGTTATTGATTGGTATTAAAGGTATTAAAATCGTAACGCAGTCTTCTTTGTTCACAAACTGTTATAAAAATCAATACTATTTTAAATTAGCAGAAGTAAGTGGTATGCAAGGGTGAAGCAGAAAAAAATCATTAAGCATGATAAAAAAAACTTTTGTGTCAAAATTTAATGTGGAAGATGTATAACAAATTGGCAGATCCATTTCAGTAGTATTCAGATTACGAAAGAAGCCGTTTAGAGTAATCAGTATAATTTCTCGATTTCTAAGATATGTTCGTAATTTATTTTTAACAATAAAAGAAGCAAAAATATAGATAGTACTGGCAGTTTTAATAATAATGAAAGACTTGTTATATTTATTGGTTAAAAGAGGATTGTAATAATTGGTCCTTATGTGTGAATTATCGAATCGTTAATTATGTAAAAATAGAAGTGCATTGTAATTATACACACAAGATCTGCCTTGATGATCAAAGCAAATAATCTTCCATTGTTATAATAAAGGTTTTACACATTGTTTCAAGAAGTAGTGACTGGTTGTCAACTGATAAAAAAAAGATATATACTGAAATTAACAATAGCAACAAACAGTTATAGAAACACAAGCATCGATATCACATTTGGGAAATGTCACTTCACAGACAAAATCCGCGGACATGCAGGATCAAACAATCGAGTAATTTCTTAGAACGATTGATTGCGCTCAGTCCTCGTACAGTCTTTCGACATAATTGACACCGATTTCTTTTGCGAAGTCACTGAAACGCGGTAAATTACACCTTGTGAAGTCTCCAGAACGAACGCGATACGTTTTTACGCACTGTTTCTCATTCTCCGGTATACGAGGACCGAAGTAGTTGTTCACGAATAGTATGCGCAACCCTCGTCTCAATCAATCGATTAAGGAGAAATCTCATTGGGTACACAGCTGCACGCTCCGAATGGATGCAAACTAACGGGGCACACTCGTTCAATTTACCGTTCGCTAATCCGATTCAAAAGATCGGCAACGGTCGCTTAGGGCGTACGTCGTGCAAGAGACCGAGAGCGGTGAGTGGCACAGTGCCGGCTCTGTGGGGTCCCTTTATCCATATCGGTTCGCAGCCGAAAATAGCGATCCGCCCCTTAGATGGAAATCTATCGTGCATTAACACTCGTCTCAGCCCGCCGCCACCGCCTAGTCCTTAGACGCCCTAACCGTCACGCTGAGAAGGAGAGACGCCGTGCGTCGCGATGAGGCGACGGCCGACGGCCCCTGAATCCAAATAAGGACTCGTCACGCGCCAGGGCCGTCACTCGTCGGGCGCTAATCAGCTGAGAATCGAAGGGCATCGACGTTTATGCCCGATATGCCCTCGAAACATACTAAAGATGAACGCTAAATGATTATGGTATAGTATAGTAGCATAGATAGTGTACTTTTTTGTTATTATGGAACTATTAGTGTTGTTTTTATGGAAACATTGAGTTATCGTGTACACAAATTTTAAGTACAATGGAAAGATTGTGAAATTTATCTAGATAATGCTGAATCAATGACGGTTCAACAATAAAACGTTTGATAAAGTTCAGTGGTCCCCAAACGTTTAAATAATTTTGAAGTTGTATTTTTTTGGTTCTTAGGTGCATAGATGATTTTTAATAAATACAAAGGATTTGACGTTTACCTTAATAGCATTGGCTTGTATTTCATAGGAGGAAGATTCAGTAAATTTGACATCCAATGTATGCAGTATAAATATCTTTACGTTGGAATTATGTTATTGTTTACATGAAAGTTAGGATGATAGCTTCCTAGTTAACAAGGAAAAATAAGCTAATATGAGGCTAAAATGATAAAAATCAGTTTCTGAAACAATTAGATTTTCCCATAAATATGCAGTATGTGCATTTTGATTGTCAGATATACATGTATAATGTAATCAAGTTAGATTACTAGTCTTTTGAAAATTTTTTTAAGTACATCTTCTTAAATTAAGCTGTATCTCATTTAGAACAATTTCGAAAAAGTTTAGCACATTGTAAATATTGATTTGGCTTATTCATTAATATCTCGAGATCAAGTAATTTTTAAAATCTTGGAAATTATATAATAACAGAATAAAAATTGAAGTATATCTATTTAAAGTGTAAAATGTAATGTGTAAGAGTACATTTATCAACCTAATGAAAAATAAATAAATCGATTAATATGAACTTCATCTATTAACTTGCAATTTTACAAAATTAAGAAAATGCAATACTTAAACGTAATGAACTTAATACTTAAGAGTACTAAGTTGTAAGGTTTTCGTGCTGGCATAAAAATCTTTCTATTTTAATCTGTGGAATCAATTATTGAAGTTGTGCGGTGTAACAATACAAGCGATACCAGTTTTCATTTTGTGGCTGTCATTCATATTCACAAACATATGACTTCACATGCCGCAACATGCCAACAATAATAATTTGGATTACAGTCGAGACGTTACGTCATTTTCAATGTTAAACTATCCGAATTTTGTGATCATGAATGACGGTATTGAAAATGGACCGATTACTTAGTCGATGAAAACTATTTAGAATCGAATTATTAGGTGATTAGACTGCTTTCTATAATTGGGAGTGCACAGGGCGACCATGTAGCTCGAGACACCACCGATCCCCTCCACCTTTTTGCAAGAGCCACCGTTGAACCGTACAACCGATTCGCAGATTCACATTGCGGAGTTTCAACCCCGAAACGGCGCGTCTTTGTCGCAAACGAACTTTTACACGGAATTCCTTATACGCATACGTATGGTGATTCAACCGATCAACGGACAGTTCCCCAGTTTCGTGCCGGTGATAAACGATAACAATCAACGGACCTATCGAAGGTGATGCGATTTTCTTTTATTTAAAGATGTACGAGAAAATTTTGTGATTCGTTCTTGCAAGTATTCAATTGAAGTAGGTTAGCCACGGTGTAACCAATTATTGATTAAACAATAGTAATGCTTAATGATAAGATCTGAATAATTGGGAAAAGTAGATTTTTGATATTTGAATTTTGAGTATGCTATTGTTGAGATTAAAACTATTCTCAGTTCAAAGTATGTAAATATGTTCAATTCTTTTTTCATTTTTCAATTTTTCCTATTAATCTCCGTAGATATTAGACAAGTGGAGGACGGCAAGAACTTTGAAAAATTAAACTTTGTGTATCAGTATATAAATATCATGCATAATGTATTAATGTATAATATGAAATCATGAAAAAATGAAAGAGTAAACGATTCCTTCCATGCGCACTTTAAAAATTAAAGAAATTTGAAAAAATTAAAAAAATTATAGAAGCCATTCAAAAAATGAGAAGGGTATTCATATTTGTGCTGTTTCTTTGTAAATATGAAATGCTTAAATTTGTGATTGATGGTATGAAACTTCATGGTTATGAATAAAAATTTACAGATGTCGAGGTGCAAAAAACATTGATAAGACGAACACTCTAAGTATGGATTATACTGAAGGAGAGAGCCAATTTGTTCCTGGATGGGGGTACATCATTTCGTGATAATTTGACAACAAAGTTCATGATAACGCAAAGAAGTCCGTTTGGATACAGCGGTAACTTTGATAGAAGCAATAAATTACTCCTTCGCATAATTCACCTCATGCATGGTAGATTATGTATATTACTACCCCTTCCAAAATGTTATTTACATAATATATTTGATATACTAGTACCGAGAGATTTTTATTATACGAGAATTTAATAAATGAATTTTAACGTAGAACCCCTTTAGTATATAAACTCGCTACTTCTATTTTTTATTATCCTGTTTTCCTTGATTTATGCAAAATTTTTGTCTAGTACAACAACCAATATAAATGTATAATGATTGAAACCACCCCGTTCTTTTAATTTACCCATAATATCCACTGTGTCTAAATATAAGTGCACGATATTAATGAGGATTTAATAAGCACTTACCCGATCTGCACCTGATTATAGTATACCTTAGTCCTAATGTAGAGTACACTACTGTTTTGATTAAGTGACCCAATTAATTCAAGAGAAGGAAATATCTGTTGATTCGATAAGAAAATTTAATTTTCTTTGACTGAAAAGTAATGTTCTTCAAACAAATGTTATAATTGGATATTGTGTAAATACCAATCGACATTTAGGGAATCGTAAAATGAAAAGCTACGTTTTGATTCATTGTAAGAATATAAGACTGATTTATTCCGTAGATGTAAACTTATATACAAAAGATGACGTATATGTTCAGACCGTGTTTGTCGGAAAAAATCTCACCGCCACGTAGAGACAGTGCCGATAGAATTGAACTAACGGAGACGCAACTAGACGAAGCGGTACGGCAGTGAACGGTGCGTTTTGGGAAAAGTGTAGCAATAACAATATCAATAGTAATAATAATTTGGAGCAAGCATAACTGCTTAGAAGCACTTGCGGTGAACGATGCCAGGGCCGGACTCGTCATACTCCTGCTTGGAGATCCACATTTGTTGGAAGGTGGATAGAGAAGCCAGAATGGATCCACCGATCCATACGGAGTATTTCCTCTCAGGAGGTGCGATGATCTTGATCTTGATGGTCGATGGGGCCAGGGCGGTAATTTCCTTCTGCATACGATCGGCAATACCTGGGTACATAGTGGTACCACCAGAGAGCACGTTGTTGGCATAGAGATCCTTACGGATATCGACGTCGCACTTCATGATGGAGTTGTACACGGTCTCGTGGATACCGCAGGATTCCATACCCAGGAAGGATGGTTGGAAGAGAGCTTCCGGGCAACGGAACCTCTCGTTACCGATGGTGATGACCTGTCCATCAGGCAACTCGTAGCTCTTCTCAAGAGAGGTGCTAGCTGCGGCAGTGGCCATTTCCTGTTCAAAGTCCAGGGCGACGTAGCAAAGTTTTTCCTTGATGTCGCGGACAATTTCTCGCTCAGCCGTGGTGGTGAAGCTATAACCTCTCTCGGTCAAGATCTTCATGAGGTAGTCGGTCAAATCACGACCGGCCAAGTCCAAACGGAGGATGGCATGAGGAAGGGCATAACCTTCGTAGATGGGTACGGTGTGAGAAACACCGTCACCCGAGTCCAAGACAATACCGGTGGTACGACCGGAGGCGTACAGCGACAGCACGGCCTGGATGGCGACGTACATGGCAGGGCTGTTGAAAGTTTCGAACATAATCTGGGTCATCTTTTCACGGTTAGCTTTTGGGTTCAAAGGGGCTTCGGTGAGGAGAACTGGGTGTTCCTCCGGAGCGACACGCAGTTCGTTGTAGAAGGTATGATGCCAGATCTTCTCCATATCATCCCAGTTGGTGATGATACCGTGTTCTATAGGATACTTTAAAGTAAGTATACCTCTTTTGCTTTGCGCTTCGTCTCCTACGTAACTGTCCTTTTGACCCATGCCGACCATCACACCCTGGAATAATTATTAATGAGTACCAATAGCGATACTTAATGTTAGCATTGCAGTGTACTTTATAGAATGAAAAATGATTTTCAAAATTAACGAACTTGATGACGTGGGCGTCCAACAATGCTGGGGAAGACAGCACGTGGGGATCCATTGTCGACTACAAGGGCGGCTACTTCGTCGTCGCACATTTTGTTACTTCCTCGAGTTTAATGCTCTGTAACAAAAATCGTGGTTGTTCTTAATGTTTCGTTATTCTCTATTTGGTGTGCTCATTTCATTATAATGATGTTTTTGTTTCATCGAAATATTTGATTTCATCAAATACCTATCTGTGCTTTCGACGATACTCTCGAAAATACTAATGCTGCTCGACTTGTTTTGTCTGATATTTTGTAAAAACGTGTCGAAAATTCATGATACATTGCACTGATGCTTACTCAATATGTCGTTGATATATTTAAATTTGACGTTCAAATGGAGGGGAATTAATATTTCCTAGCATGTGTGCGTGAAAAGTAGGTAGTCGTAAAAAAGAAGTTAAAAATCTTATCGTTGAAATTTTAATGTTGCTTCAAATAATTCATCAGCTGAATATGAAAACTGAATTTGCTTCCTTTTGTTGTTTTAAAAATTCACACAATAGTTCCTGAAATTAACACACGGCACAGAGGTAGCTTAACTTTATTTCAGTTGTAAAAAGTGTAAAAATTCATTTGAACAAAATGCTGTAGAGATTTGAAACACTAGGAACCGATGTTGAAACACTTGAGAGGGAAACCAAACAATCGTACCTAAAATAAATTCCAATGTATGTAAGTATTCAACGAAAGGAATAATGATCTTTCGTTTGATAATAAATGTTACGCAGAACTATAAAATTTCGATAGATAAAAATGAAGGAATGTAGTGAAACAGTATAGGCGTCGAGTGGTACGGTGAAGTTTTCGCGGAAAGCATCGGTGCTCGCCAGAATTGACCCAGTTGCCTATAAAACGATAGGCAAGCGGTCCCGGCGTTGTGGCACTATTTTGGTACGCCGCGACGCTAACTTTAGACGTACGACTGACGGACGATCCCTAATAAGTGCAAGCGACGATTATGGTGAGCAACACCCTCTCTGCTTGCTGAGGCTCAGCTCAGACCACGAGGGATAAAGCATAACATCGAGGCTCGCGCATGCCAAAATTATGCTCTGCTTACAAAAAGACGAGCCTCGCACACGGGCAAGAACCTCGAAATATGCCTAAACATGACGATGGAACCGGCCATTCGCCCCGAACACGTGTATTTTTGGTACTCGTGATTAGCTACTTAGACGATTTTCGAAGCCGTGGGAGGGAGTTCGTGCGCAGAACAATGATACTCTTGCAAGGAAAGCTTGCAAATGACTTGAATATGGCAATTTGCTGGTGGAAAATGTAATACTTGTATCGCGAGAATTGTTCAAATGTTGAAAACAGGTTTGGAAGTAGTTTGAATTTTCATTCTAGTATTTGGTACGTTCTATTTTCAATATAATACTTTGTATATGGTATGACTTAGTAGTTTATCGTTATGCCGTTAAACAGACGTTGAAGTAGTTTCAACGTAGACGTTTTATTTTAGCTTCGAAATTTACTTACATGTCTTCAATATAATTATTCAAATAATTTCGTATCATTCATAGTTTAATTTAGCCAAGTAAATGAGAAGAAACTCTATCATTTCATTCGAAAAATGCTATTCATAACTAGAAAAGAAAGTATCGAAGGAATGTACATTAACGATAAAAGATGACACAGTATTGAATACTTCTGGTTAAAAGAACGAAACGTTCTAAACAAAATATTGAAAGAACATAAAACAATTATTATGTTATGCAATATGAAATGTTGGATTTTCAATTATTCGCAAATTGATCCCTCAAGTGATTAGTTAAATTCTGAGAAATTCTGAGTTTTTTGTGTTAACTTTAAAGTTCATACAATTTTTGTTACTGTTGAGGAATTTAATACTCGTATTAGACGCCAATGGAGACATAATATTTCAATCCGACATTTCATATTATATGACATCTGGTATTTAACGATGAGTTGGTATATGAATTAAAACATAATTCTTTAATTATGATGCAAGTATTGTTTCAGTAAAAGTTAAAGAATTTTTCACTTTAAAAAATACTTCAATAACTACTTCCTACCAAGGTGATTCAGTTTAATGGTAACGTTTTATGACCAACTCGAAGAATATTCTAAAATATCTTAAAATATCTAAATTTAAAGTTACGTTAATTATCAGAACCTAACTGATAAGTAACAATGATACATGCACTATAAAAAAAGGAGGAAACGTATTCGCCTTTAAATGATCGAAAAAGCAGTTAATCAATTAATCAATTTCTGTTCAATGAAGATACAATACTACTCCTCGTTCTCAACACACAAACGTAGTAACACTCAATGCTATTTATTTCAGATTCGATATATTGGAAGGAATCTCGACCGCTCCCTTAAAAGTCTAACAGCGTATCGCTACACCCTAAAGAAACTTTCTTCCGTTGAAAGAATTGGCCGAAAATCGTACACGACCGCAGTGCAATAAAAGAATGGATGACGGTGATCAATCGAGTGTCAGTATCTGCGACTGTGTTGAGAGTTCTGGAGGTAATCGATAGTATCCGTGATAGATGAAATATTGTTTTCAGAAAACAGTTTCTACGTACCGTGCTCGGGACAGAGTTGGAGTAGCGTCTGTGCCTTGGGAGCGTCGCGACGTCGAATATATGCTCTCGTCAGGACGCCCCCGCATTCTCGTGGGATGGTGCTTGCTCGACAGGCACGAAAAAGGCTTGCCTCGCGTGGCGTCGCGACGCTCGCCGAACTAGGCGGCCCCAGGCCCTAAGCAGACCGAGGAAAATGCGCAGCATTGAAAACGCTCAATATCATTTTTCCTTATAGTTGTTTTAGTTTTTACCGTCTATACAATCTTTATTGATCCTTCGTTTTTTCTAGGTTTCCTTCATATGATTTCTCTAGAAATTTCATTCTTAGGTAAGACATATCGTCTCTTCTCCAATTTTAGCCAACGGAACTATTTCTTATTAGTCTCTTTTCCCTTATATGCTTCTCTACATCGAAATTAAAGGAAAATATTATTAGTCCTCGAAATCTCACCAGTGCACGAAACAAAGTTCTGGTCTTGTTTTCTTATTGAAGCTGATCTCCATGCTTCTCTATCTCCCCATTCGAAACTAAGGTATCGATATAATATAAGGCGCTTTACTTTTCTACTGCATAGAAAGTGCTGCGTGTAAGGGGTAAGAGCTCCAATACGTACAAGGAGATTTTCGTTGTAATTTTTGAAATAATTGTTCGTAAGCTATTAATATTTTACTGTTTCGAAATATGTTGCTGCTTGAAAACCGTTTTTTCATCTACAGAAACGAGGGGTAAATTGTTACTCACAATGTTTGTTACTAGTATCAAGTAAATAAATTAGGATGATAGTTTAAATTGGTTTCTTCAAATTTTTATAATTTGAAATAGAAGCAACAAATTTTGTGTCATTTGTTCGCAAAGAAGCATATTGTAAATCCTAATTGTAAATTCTTCATATAATGCATTCAAATTTTGCTTTGCACTTTACACCATCGAGCTTGGAGAATTGATTATTTGAAATATAAATTTTATTTGATTAATTATTGAGGTAATTGCTAAAAACTTATTTTCAAAAATTATTTATTATTTATTGTCGCTTATCAGTTACTTTTGTTTTCCACAAAACGAGATACGAAACGTAATACAGTACGTATCGTATAATTTACTTAATTTCAATAATTTCTGACTTATTATCTACTTGTAAAATTGTTACATACAAAAGTTGCATAGTTGCGAGGAAGGTGTTACACATAGTTAATAGTGTGTTACATCTTTTATCTCAAACATTCAAAAGAACATTGAATTCTGAGTATTAACTTTTATTAGCCTTGCAAGTAATAGTTAAGAGGATATCCTGCATTTTTTCTTGAAAATTTACTTTACAGAACATCAAGTTTGATATCTAGTATTGCTAAAAACATCAATAGTATAGTGGGGTTTTCCTAGGTAACGTTTATTTCGTTTGATGTTTACCAATACGACTCAGTCCTACATTGTCATGATTGTTTACTACGTCCGTTATTTAATAGCGAGGGTGTCTTTCGTTTGTGTGTGGTAATTACGGTACTGCCATTACGTCCTTGCTACTATGCTTTTGAATACATTTTCTAACTTTTCTTCAACTTTTCTCCAACTTCCACTGTTTCAACATACGAAGTAGAATATCTCATTAACTGCTAAGTTTGCAACAAATGAAGGTCAATACAGTTTCTTCCAAGCTATGTAAATTTGTATAGAAAAAATCATTTAAGGTCTCCGAGTTATGCAGTACATCGTGTATATTTTGTGATTTACATGCACAAAGTGCTTGCGCGAGCTATTCACATTTTGCAATTGCATTCTATACATATACAGTTTTATCAAAATCTATTCAAGCGTTATCACACTTGTTAATATACATATATCATCTATTTGAAAACCTTAATATCTAATTTTATTTGTTGTTGTCGTAGACACTCTCTTGGACCTTTTGAATGATAAAACGATTTCGTAAAAATTAATATTTACTGTAATTTTTACCAGTTTTATCACAAGAAATGCAGATTCTGCACCCATTATCGTATTTAAACTACTTTTGGCAAAAGTTGACAAGAACTGACATAGCACAGATCATTTTTCTTTTGGCATACATTGTAGCGGGGACATTTCAAAGTAACACACGCTTTGAATTTTGCGGCGGTCTCTTTTGGTTCTTGAGATATGCGAATTTGTAAACTATACTTATTTCGAAATTCGTAGCGAAACTAAACAGTAATCCTAAGGTGTATTACCAGTGAATATGGATGGAATATTGAGCAAATGTAAACACAAAAAAAAATATTTACATTTTTTGTAGTTACTGTTCAGTTTCGTTGTACGAGTCAAAGAGACGACAACAATGCAACTTCACGAATTTCTTTCTATTATTGAAGATAAAGAGAAACTTTTCAATTATTCAATTGAGCATTATATGTAACAAGATTAAATGTACATGTTGCGGTTCTATGTGAGAATTATCGCGAGAACGATTATTGTTGAAATGTCATGGCGTTCAATATGATTATAAGAGAAATAGAAAACGTTCGTTTTGCTTACCGTGACATTGTAAATTGGGCTTGGGTTAGGTTAGGTTAAGTTTGAATTTATTTGGCGAGGGTATGCAGGGGATTTTCTTTGTAGCAAAAATCTTGAAAATATATGTCAAGGTTAAGGTCATAGAGACTAAATTTCTTAAATTTCTTTTTCTGAGAATATTATTTTTATAATATTTCAAAATCTCATGTCTCAAGAACCAAAAGAGACCGCCGCAAAATTCAAAACGTGTGTTACTTAGGAATGTACCCTTTGCAATATATGTATGTTAAAAGAAAAATGATCCGTACTGTGTATGTTTTTATCAACTTTTACCGTACTTTTCATTGCAATTATAAGACATTTTAGTTCTGTAATGGAAAATTTAGGTACCATGTATATGTGAATAATATGATATGCAGGTGATTAAATAGTATTTACAATACTTTCTTAAAGATAACAACTGTCGTAGGTTCAAAATCTTTTTCAATTCGATCGAATATAGTTTAATTTAAAGGCTGATGCAGAATTATACATGTTCTTCTTTATTTACCAGACATCAGAGGAGGAGGAATATTTTGAGATTACACACCGGGACAAAAATAAATCCCAAGAACATGCGACTTTTTTATCGATCAACCCTAAACACTTATTGGCGGAAAAGATTTCCGGGGAATGCAGTGAAGTATTTTTCTGTAAAACTGATCAAAGTTCCAATAACACTTAGCTGATTATGAATCAATCAACCAAAAAATAAAGTCTGGCTTTCTTAGGAAGTATTCTCGCGGAGGGTAGGGAAACATATAATAAAGGGAACCATTCAGGACTAGGTTAGTCATAACAGGCCAAGGTCGTTAGTCAGCTAAACGTCACAACAATAGTTATTTTAAAACTACTTGAACTCTTATGCCATTCTCACAGACATATTCGGACTTGAATACCGCGAAGAAGATAGTAATTTTTTATTGCATAAATTCTAGTGTATTTATATGTGTGCGTGTGTGCAAATACGCGATTTATATAAAATATATATAGCATCAGGTCTTTATCGTCGAAATGCAATGAATAGAAATTCAGTTGTAAATCTGAAATGCTTGAGAACAAAAAATAAATACGCGAAATTATGATTAAATGAGGTTTGTATTTGTTGCTTGTACTTGATGTGTATTTCGATACTTGATTGCTTCTCTTCTCAATTTAATTATAAATAACATAACTTTAGCGGCATTGATATGCAGTGTTTAATTTGATATATCACGAAAGAATATCGGAAACATCTTTAGGTAGTGGTTATTTATATACGGGAAATTTTACATTACAGATGTTTTGTCAGCAAATATGACAGAGGCATGGACGTCGAAGAAATGGTACGCAACGTCGTTGAATAAACTGGACGCGAAAAATTCTTAAAAAGGACCTTGACGCTCGAGTAAAGGCATTGGCTGCGTCGAAGAGGATAGAAACATTAGGTCTATCGGCTTTGTAACATAAGGCATTACAGCTAGGGGGCAAAATAATGGTATGAGAGAATGTATATTTAATTTGACTTTTCGATATATCGTATAACAATATAGCAATATAGTGTATAATATTTACAAAATAAATTAAAATAGAAGTATATTGTTGGTGAGTTTACTTCGATTAGCAGGCTAACAATAGGTATAGTAAGGTTTAAGAAATTTGTTGGAGGTGCAAGAGTCTCGCATAACAGTGAGACAAGCGCAGCTTCCCTCGAAGTTGGTCCAATTCTCTCGAAGATCCCGTGTTCTTCTTGTGTGCCCAGAATGTCCCTTTCATGATCGAAAGGTGCATTTGGTAGGTAGATCAGCCGATCTGGTATTGTTTACGAACCTCGTTTTAATCTGAACGAGGAATGGCCATACACGAGTGAGCTCTGTATCGAGAACCAACACCTTCGCCGGCTTCCTCGGCCTTGGTGAAGTGACAGATGAATGTGCCCGTTTATAGTTAAAGAGCTTTCAGGTTAAGAATGTAATCAGCCTGGTCGTCGTAACTTGCATGGCGGCACAGATGACAACAACAATGAATATTCGATGAGATCTGATGATGATCTGAATTCTGCGATATTCCGATAACGTTCCTTTATTGCAGCATAATGATCGTTAAAGGAAAATTGAGGAAAGGGATCGTATGCTGGACTTCCTTCAGGATGATTCATGGCTTTTAATTTTATATTCGTGCGACGTTGCGGATTCGTCGACAAGGCGCTTAGAAGCACTTGCGGTGGACAATGCCTGGGCCGGACTCGTCATACTCCTGCTTGGAGATCCACATTTGTTGGAAGGTGGATAGAGAAGCCAGAATGGATCCACCGATCCATACGGAGTATTTCCTCTCAGGAGGTGCGATGATCTTGATCTTGATGGTCGATGGGGCCAGGGCGGTAATTTCCTTCTGCATACGATCGGCAATACCTGGGTACATAGTGGTACCACCAGAGAGCACGTTGTTGGCATAGAGATCCTTACGGATATCGACGTCGCACTTCATGATGGAGTTGTACACGGTCTCGTGGATACCGCAGGATTCCATACCCAGGAAGGATGGTTGGAAGAGAGCTTCCGGGCAACGGAACCTCTCGTTACCG